GAAAAAGCTATTTACAAAACATTATAAATTGTATGATTCCATTTATGGCAGATTTCTAGAGAGGGCAATCCATAGAGAAAAAATTGCTATTTCCCTAGGGTTCGGGCCTATGGAAACGGCATCTATGCCTTATGAAGTTAATTTTGGCTTGATAAAAAAGTTCTAAAATTATATTATGGTGATGGCTTCAAAACTCTATAAGCATACTAAAAATATTTAAATTTTGTACTCTAAATAGGAAAATTTTATGAATTGTAAGTTATATCTCATTATCAAATCTATTAAAATAATGATGATATAAAAGTAAATTTTTGGTATGAAAAAGTAATACATTCAGAAATTTTAGGAATTGAATTAAAATGTTTTATGATGTTTCTAACTTCATTGTTCCTTTTACCTGCGAATTCTGCCTTATTTTTTAAAATTGATCTTTTTTATGCTTATTTATTTATATGATGTTATTTTTATGTAGAACATTTTTACACTAATTGATTACCCAGTAAATTAACAGAGTTCAATGCAACTCTGAAATAACTGGTGAAAAATAAAAGCAGATTTCATATTGTTTAAAACATTTAAATTCTTTCGAAGTTAATCAACTAATAAAAGGGATGAATCTCATCTTCCTTGTTGAGAAGAGAACACGTCTATAAATACCGCTTATTAAAACAAGTGGTATACTCACATAGGGTCATTAATGACTGTCTTCAAAGCATTGAGCAAATCTGTACTTGACATTGTGTTAAAGTCCACTCTGACAGCTGCTCCCTTGGTCTTCATGTGAGCAATGTTGTCTGGTTGATCCGCAAACAAAGGAATGCCCACCATAGGGACCCCGTGGTAGATGGCCTCATAGACGCCATTGGCTCCACCATGAGTTATAAAAGCCTTGGTTTTTGGATGACCTAGAATAGGGTTAATGTCAGGAAAATTATTCATTATAATTTTAGGAATAATGTGAAATGCATAATGTAGGATACTGAGAGGGACAGTGTTTTCTAGATAGCAGATTAGAATACCCATGAAACTTCCCTGAAATTGCCTTCAGATTTCAGAGGAAGAAGCACCTACTTTTACTGGAGAGAAAAGTGAAGGCTGCATGGAAGAAATGGTGTGTGATTTGAGAAAGGAAAAATGAATATAAGTTTTCCAGTTGCATAAATGGAAAAGAACATTCTGGATAAAGAAAATGTACAAATAATATAAAAAG